ATTTGAACTTATCTATATACGTAGATTTGCTTAAATTTCATTTTGCGCATCATTTACATCATTTTAGATATATGACCAATTTTGTCATTTCACATTATTTTTTAATATTTTATTATGAAACTAATGGCTAATGTCTTCTCTTGATTGTGATCTTAGCATCTTAAGCTATATTTAAATATCAATTGGCTAAGTTTTCAAAAACCTTATTTAAAAAACGTTTTAGAGTCTTCTTTTTTATTTAACAAAAAGGGGAGAAGTGTTAGGGGGAGTAATTTTTCAAACTTAATTTTTTATTTCAAAAATTATTTTCAAGAAAATCTTAAAATTACTTAAGTGTTTTGTTATATCAAAAAGGGGGAGATTGTTGAAAACATTTTGATGTTTCGATATAACAAATTATGTGTTAATGAATTTTAAGATTTTATATTACATTTTAAATTATATATTCGATTAAATTATTCAAATATAAAAATTATTACTCCAAGTTTTCAAATGTCTATTTTAATCTTTACTCAAGTGTAAAATTAAGTTTCAAACTTAAAATATTTCTTGAAACAATTTCAAGCCAAAAATTACAGTTTACTCAGAGGGTACCGATTCCCCCTGAAAGGTTTTGGCTCCGAGAAATAACAGTTTACTCATAGGGTATCGATTCCCTCCAATAGGGAACCGATTCCCCCTTAATGGTTTTGGCTCCAAGAAATAACAGATTACTCGGAGGGTACCGATTCCCCCCTGTGTAACGGTCGAAATATTTGAATTTTACACTGCAGGAACCGATCTCCTATGAGGGGGTACCGATTCCCCCCACCCCACGCTCCAAGCTGTTTTATTAATTGTTTTCACATAATAACGACTCTATTGACTCCACTAATGATCTCCAACGTTCAGAATCAACTGAAGGAGTATTTAAACAAGCTTAGAAGCCATTGATCAACAACAATTATCAAGAATCAAAATAGAATCAAAGAGAAATCATCAAACCTCAAGTTTGTGCATTTTCAAGCCTATTTCATTCAATATTCATCTTTGCTTTCAAGAACACTTATTGTACTCAATTGTATTATTCTTGACTGTTCTTTCTTTTTTCTAGAATTGTGCAAACATCTTTCCTTGTGAGGATTTTCTTATAAGTTTGTAAAATTTGTATTGTTCTTTTTGGGAGAGAGTGTTCTCAAGAATTTGGGGTATAATTCTTGAGGGATTTGTAAGGTTACTCTTTTTCCTCAAAAGAAAGACAAATTAGTGAATTTGTGGAAAATCCTTAGTGTGGATAGCTAAGGTAGTGGACGTAGACTTTGGTTGAGAAATTCGAACCACTCAAAAAATCGCTGTGCAAATATTTTCAATTTTCTGCAAAAGCTTCCACCGAAATTTTAATTGCCAATTCACCCCCCTCTTGGCTATATTCGTCGATCGATTAACTCAACATTTTTAAATCCTTCGACCATTTAGTCCTCAAGCTTAATTAGAACTTTAACATTTACATAATTAAATAGGATAAATATAAGAAGCTACGTTTTAGATTTGAGCCCCTATGTTCCTTAATTTTCATAATTTGATACCTTAAGTTAGAAAAAGCCTTAATTTACCTTAGATTAATTAGAATTGAATAAAATTGTGTTTGATTGCATTTTATTTTAACTCTAAGGCAATGTTTACTTATTAAGGAATTAGGCAATGTTTGATTGCATTTTATTTACCCTAAATAGGTCGACATCCTTTTTCAAAACCGCATCATGTTTTTCTAAAAACGAGGCAATGTTTGGTTATTAGGCATAATAGCTTATCTCCCGCATTTATGCTCGGGGGTGAATGCTATGGGACTCAATAAACGATTACCCTTTTCAACTTTGCATCCTTAATGATTTTTAAATTAAATAAAGATCGAACCCAAAATTTTGGATTTTAAATATAGGGTAACCAACTAGGTACCAATTTTTGGGCGCTTGTGGGGGTGCTAATCCTTCCCCACGCGTAACCCACTCCCGAACCTGAGTTCTGGATTTTTCGCAGACCCCAAAACTCAGTATTTTAATAAAAATAAAAGATTTTGTTAAAATCATCTAGTTTTTACTGTGTTCCAATCTCACCTTAAATGGTTGGTGGTGACTCCTCATATTTTTTAAAAACTTTTCAAAGAGAAAAAACCCGAGTCGGTATCAGTCTTTCCCCGCCCGGACGAAAAATGGTGTCGACAGTGATGAATAAGGTGTGTGTGAATAAGACGGTGATGAATAAGGTGGTGGTGAATAAGATGGTGGTGGATAAGGTGACTTCTCTTTGGGTTTCTCATACTTTGGCGATTTGTATTCGTTTTTTTCCTTATTTGGTGGTAAATAAGATGGTGATGAATAAGGTGGTGGTGAATAAGATGGTGGTGAATAAGATGGTGGATAAGGTGACTTCTCTTTGGGTTTCTCATACTTTGGTGATTTGTATTTTTGTTTTTCCTTCTTTGGGGGTGAATAAGATGCTGATGAATAAGGTGTGTGTAAATAAGGCGGTGATGAATAAGGTGATCGCGAATAAGATGAAGGTGGATAAGGTGACTTTGCTTTGGGTTTCTCATACTTCCGTGATTTGTATTCATGTTTTTCCTTTTTTGGTGGTTTGTATTCGGGTTGATCTTTTTTTTGATATTGGATGGTATTGTAGATTGTTTTCGGGTGGTGTATAGACATGACTAGGTTGTTTCCCATAGTCGGCTGAGTCATAGGAACCGAGTGAGGGAGTGGGGGCGAAGAGAGCCACCACTACAACGACCAATGCTTACAGCTTGCCAGAGACATTATGAAGCATTGTCTTTGGATGATTTTGCAATGAGATTATTCTCCTTTTATAGCGGTAGAAGAAACTTTTGGTAGGTGTCAAATATTCTCTTGCATGATAGCTTACCTTGTGGACCAATACCGACTGACCCAATAATTTTACTTTTAGTAATATATGAATACTAAATTCGAACCGACAAGATAAGTGAAAGTAATTAAAGACGGACTCAACAATAAAATTAAAACAATTTCTCATGTATCCATTAGATTTTGGACAAGAATTTTATAAATTTATGTTAATCTCCTTCTTAAATTAGTTTTATTTATTTAAATTTAATTATAAAAATATAAAATTTCAAAATATTTTGAAAAAAGAAAAAGAAAAAAATGAATGGCATTAATAATTTTTTTTTTTTGGTTTTCGGTTCCTTTCTTTTTTCCCTCTTTTCAAACATGTTCCCCCTCTCCTTTTTATCTTTCGAATATCTTCTTCTCATAAATTATTCAGTCTTTTGGTGAGAAAACAGTGAGCTCGAGTAGGGAAATAATTTCCTAAAACTGAGATTTAATATTTTTCAAAGGGTTTTGTTATGGTTGGTAAATCTATGACTTTCTTTGATTTTTTTGGTATTTTCTTCGCTGTTTTGATGAGATGATGAAGACGGGATGGTTGAAACGGTTGGTGATGGTCACGAGATCGACGATGGAGAACGACTCCAACGAGGCGAGACTCTTCTTATCCTTGGCGGCGGTGGGTGTTAGGGTTAGCCAAGAGTTGTAATAGGATGGGCCGTTAGGGTTTTTATTATTGGGCCTGCTATTGGGATTGTATTTTGGGCCCAATTTAGGTTATTTGTAAATAAATAAATTAATTTAATAATAATAATAATAATAATAATAATAATAATAATAATAATAATAATAATAATAAAATGGCGGGTTGAAAAATGGTGATCAGAGTCATTTGGTCAATTTTAACTGTTAAGTGTTAATAGTTTTCTCTAAGATATTATTGTCATATTGTATACTGTCACTATGTTACATAAAATTTATAGATTTAAAAATTTTAAAGCATTATTTAAAGTAATAAATATCTAAAAACAAAGATATAGATTAAAAAAACTAAAGTGTTATTTAAAGTAATAAATATCCAAAAACGTCAGTTGATAATATTGTGATGTGATATGTGAGGCTAACTAATCCAAAAAAATGGTGGATTAATAATAAATATTAGTTAAAGGTCACTGAGATCAGTGTCTTCATATCTAGTTTTCAAAGTGTATATCAGACACTTCGAAGAAGAGAAAGGAAACTTCAAAGGGTATCGTTAAATCCAACGACTTCGATTATTTATCAGGAGCCCCCTCTTTCTCAGGCTCCATGGATTTTCTTTGTTTTTCAAAAGAATTGCTTCTTGTTGGAGCACTAGATCTGGGTTTGCCTTATGAATTATCATCATCTCCGGTTGGTATGACTGCACAATATTTGAGCTTGTTATGTGATTAATCTGTTAGAACTAAATCATAAATAAATATAAAAAAATCAGAATGTGATCATGTCAAATCATCAAAAAATAAAAAACTAAATACGGAAGTGTATCTAAATTAATTGATAAATTGAAATCTTTGAGTCTTTCTTTGGTTCATCTCCCAAGAAGATAGAGTTCTCTTTAGTATAAACGTTTTGACGAGATAAGAGAAAATACGAGATGATCTATGTCTTAGCGACCATAACACATTTATATAGTTGATTTAAGAATCGATTATTTTCTATAATTATAACTCTATCTCTCATCAAATTATAAATACAACTTTAATAGTATCTATACGTCATATATTGTGATAAGGGCATATCTTATGTTATATGGACCATTTTCTACTTGCTTGCGTTGAAGCATAAGAAAAATTGAGTTCGGCATCTATTTTGATCGTAAAAGAAAATAAGAGGAAATATGCATCAAAGTATTGAGGAAAAACATGTGATAAAAACACTTACATTTGACATTTTATATATTTTATGAACCAGGCACATAATGGATACTTTAGATAGTACTGAGATTAGCATTCTCAACGCTAATTGTCTCTCATCAAACATGACAAACAATAAAACATCTTAAGCTATACCAATACATAGAAGATGAGATTGACAAAAGCTTTTATTCTTGCATATTACTTCAAATATATAGCCAAAACAGTCTAGTTTTGGATGGCTAAGTAGTGAGAGGCTTCTTCAATGGTGAGTGTTTGCGGGATACAAACCATAAGATCGTTCATAGTAAGGCGGGATTTCCTCCTTTGGTGGTGGATAGTAAGGTGAGTTTCCATTCTTTGGTGGAGGTGACCTGTCTTTTGGTTTCTCATATTTTGGTGGCGAATAAGATGGTGATGAACAAGGTGACTTCTCTTTGGGTTTCTCATACTTTGGCGATTTGTATTCGTGTTTTTCGTTCTTTGGTGGTGAATAAGGTGTGTCTGAATAAGGTGGTGATGAATAAGGTGGTGATGAATAAGGTGGTGGTGAATAAGATGGGGGTGGATAAGGTGACTTCTCTTTAGGTTTCTCATACTTTGGCGATTTGTATTCGTTTTTTTCCTTTTTTGGTGGTGAATAAGATGCTGATGAATAAGGTGTGTCTGAATAAGGCGGTGATGAATAAGGTGATGGTGAATAAGATGGTGGTGGATATGGTGACTTTCCTTTGGGTTTCTCATACTTCGGTGATTTGTATTTGTGTTTTTCCTTTTTTGGTTGTTTGTATTCGGGTTGATCCTTTTTTGATGGTGGATGGTATTGTGGATTGTTTTCGGGTGGTGTATAGACATGACTAGGTTGTTTCCCATAGTCGGGAGTGTCGTAGGAACCGAGTGAGGGAGTGGGGGCGAAGAGCGCCACCACTACAACGACCAATGCTAACAAGCTTGCCAGAGACATTATGAAGCAGTCTTTGGATGATTTTGCAATGAGATGATTCTCCTTTTATAGCCATAGAAGAACCTTTTGGTAGGTGTCAAAATCTTCTCTTGCATGATAGCTTACCTTGTGGACCAATACCGACTGACCCAATAATTCTACTTTTTGTAATATATGAATACTAAATCCGAACCCACAAGATAAGTGAAAGTAAATTAAAGACGGACTCAACAATAAAATAAAATAATTTCTCATATATCCATTAGATTTTGGACAAGAATTTTATAAATTTGTGTTAATCCACTTCTTAAATTAGTTTTATTGATTTAAATTTAATTATAAAAATATAAAATTTCAAAATATTTTGAGAAAAAGAAAAAAAATGAATGGCATGAATAAATATATTCCAAATAGTTTAGCGAGATTGAGAAATATTTTTTCGTTAATTATTCATAAAAATAAATAATCCATTTCAGTCTCACCTCATTTAAAAGTTGAACCATGATTTAAGAGATTATAAGCTATAATTGCTGCTATTTCCATAAGGTATTAGTTAACCTTCATTTCACTTCTTGTGCCATTTATAGAAAATGCTTAATTTCAGTAAGAAAATACAATAGAAAATCAATTACACTTATTGGTTTTATGTTCAGTTAAGTGGGTAGTTGGAGGTTGTTGGGCAGTTATAAACGTGATAGTAGTTTTCCCTTTTATCACTTTCTCCATTTGCTTCAACTTTCTCATTCTTCTATCTGTCCTTTTCATTGCAGTCCTAGAAGGTTATTTCATCAAACTTAACAAAACTTTTCTAATAAAATTAAGATGCTTGAGGCATGGAAAGAGCTCAACAACTAACTCAAAGTGAAGATAGTTTTAAATAAGAACTTATAGTTAACTTGTATAAGGGTTTAGTTTTCTATTTAATATCATGAATTTGACTCATTGATTTGGATCGAATAAAAATTTAAAATTAATATATTTTTGACAATTCTAAATTATAATTTAATAATTAAGAAGATTTTTCATTTAAATTTAATTTTTATGAAAGGTTTGAGGGTGTATGAATCCCTCAAATTCTGGAATAAAAACTGAACTCATGATTTTTTTATTCAATTTAAGAAATAAAAGGTTAATAAATTAAATTAAACCTTTGAATTGAGCATTTGTGTCAAATAAGTCGTGATCGTAACGTCTTTTTTCAAAACGAAAATGAATTTTACTTTAGGCGTATGAAAAGTCAAGTGTTCGGAAAATCGAATAAATTTTAAATTGGTTGAATTCAGAAACGATTCAGAGCCGCTATCGACGTTTAGATTAGGTAGGTCAAGTACTTAAAAATGTCTTAAGAAATAATTTATACAAAAAATCATTTTTAAAGACAACTTGGTCTATATTTACCAGAAATTTATTTTTCAGGGATCAGAAGTCGGTTACGCATAGGGATGGCAAACGGGTACAATTTCGTGGAATACGACCCGTACCCGCTTTAATTGGAGCGGGTATGGGTATAACTTTAGTGGGTAGTGGGCGGGTGTGGATTTAGAAAGTGGTACCCATCGCGGGTAGTGGGCGAGTGATGGGTTTGAGACCTTACCCGCCCCGCATCCACCCGCCCTGCATCCGCCCACCCCGCATCCGCCCGCCCCGCATCCGTCCGCCCACTAAATATCCATTAAATTTTAGACCATTATAAATTTAGGTATAATTTTAGAGACTAATTTATAAATCTTAATATTATATAAGATATAACTTATAATTTAACCAAATATTAGGGATAAGTTTATGAATCAATTTTTTTCTTTCAAACCTCTCGTGCTTTGCTTGCTAGTTACTGCATCGATATTCTGGTCAAGCTTAGAGTTCTTCTCTAAGTTTCAAACTCTGGTCTATTCAGATACGCCTTCTTCCTCTTCTTTACTCTAGTCTCCTCTGCGGGTAGTAGAGTTGTATGTCATCTTATACACAGATCCAAAACCACCTTCCCCGATAGCCCTTAATTTGTACGCCATCAAGAGTCTATAACTTACCAGATTTCACTGAGATGGCTGATATTAGAGGGCCATATGTTCCCATTTGTCAGATTCTATAAGCTTCTCCTATAGGATAGTTGTGGTATGGTAGCTTCTTAGTACGTGACTGACATCTTCGGTCTCTGCACCGCATCTCCTGCAGCTTGCATCAATTGTTAGGTGTCTCCTCATCTATTCTTTATTGGTTGGAATTCGTTCTTTGCAGACTAACCATAAGGTCTTGATCCTTGGCAAAGTATGACTTTTTGTAATGGTTCTCCAATTTTTTAGGTTAGATTCATCACTCTCTTCTTCTAGGGTTTTGTATGCGGATTTAATTGTGAATTTTTTGTTGTTAGAGTCTTTCCTTCCTAATCTATCCTTTGGTTCATTCTCTCTCGGTGGGGGGACTGCAAGTAATTTGTTCACTATATTGTATATGATCAGTTCCTCAATTTCATCCCATTTCCATTCTCCATTTTCATTAGCGTAGTCTTTAACCTTCATGTTATTACTTGTCACCACATCTTGTCTTAAACAATGATTCTGCAAAGGTCCAGTTTCTTTAATCTAGTTATTCTCCCAAAGTCTCACTGAGCTACCATCGCCAATTTTCCAGTTAATGTTTGCCTTATCAATCCTTTTTATTGTACTTTCAATGTTAAAATCCTTCAACATGTGTGTCCCCTACAACCAACTAATTTGATAAAATTATCGCAGCAGCATATGGGGCAGGGAGAGCATGTACAATGTGATTTAATATCTATATATAAACATCAAATATCCGTCTTCCAAGACTGTGGAAAGAACAATTATCTCTTATTACTATTTCTTCAAAGTGAAGTTTCACAGTATAGTTTCCATTTCCTAAGCAGCGAATATAATAAGTGAGCGAAAGGAGAGAGAGGCGTGATGTCGTGTATAATGCAAATTCATTCATCCTGAGCATAAACAAATTATGTACTATATAGTCAGTTGAGCTAATTCTCGTATCCTAGAAATGTTCTGTGCTACTAACTTCCCAAATTTATGACAAAATGTTCTTGTAGCTCCTCGTTTATTATAGTTATTTTATTTAGGTAGTATTCGTATGATACAATTTGGTCATCTTTGGTTAACAAGTTACTGTTTATTTGGCTTTTGCTTAAACAATTAAAGTTGAGAGTTTTGCTAGTCTCTTTGAACTATTGAATATTGTTCTGTTTGTTTATTATGGTGTTTTATGTACTTTAAGATCTATGTTAACACTTAACTTAGTTAATCCTTGGTTTATTTTATTATGCTTCTTAATAGATGTGTTTGTTTTATGTTTGTTGCTTATGTATAACTTAAGATTGATGTCAGGCGGGTCTAGCCGGGTACGTCTCCAGTTGGGTAGTGGGTGTGAGGATGGATTTGAGAATGTACCCGCGTGGGCAGGCGTGGATTTGAAAAATTGTACCCATCATGGGTGGTGGAGGGTGGTGGATTTGAAAATATTAGGTGGGTATGGGGATGGGGGAAGGGGTACTTGCACCCGACCCGCCCGTTTGCCATCCCTAGTAAGTTACGCATGGGGAAGGGTAAGCACCCCCACAACACCCAAAATTGGTACTTAATCGCCCATACTTCATCTTGGTAGTGGAAATAAAATGCTAAAATCGAAAACTATCTCACAACTTAATTTATCGCCTATCAAATAATTTATTTCGAACTTTAAAAAATATTCCCTATTTTGTGAAGAGATCACGAGATTTGCACGTCCTCCAATCGAAAGACTATCCCACCTATCTCTTTCTTATACAAAAATATTCATTTTATTAATTTTTTGGGGTCTCATGCAAGGTATGTATGAAATAAAAATTAGAAATTAAAGCAACAATAAAAAAACAAATACAAGGTTATTATTAAAATAATTATTAACTTCATTTTATTTAAGCATATTCGAGCATACTCGATTATTTTCAAGTTCGATTACATTTGAACGTCGTATTGAATTGTATTACCTTGATAGGTTGCACTTTTCACATCCCTTCTACGGAATATGTTCTTGAAAAGATTCGAGTAAAATACATAAAATATTGAGAAATGAATATTTTATAAATTACAATAAAATAATAAAAAAAGTAATATACATATAAATATATATGGGTTAAGAAATATTGAATAAATAATTTAAAATATATAACGTATATGATGTAATATATGTAAACTAACTAAATATACATACATATATACACGACAAGCCTAATATAAATATATTAAGGCATGAAACAAACGTAATATATATAATTATATATAATATTATAATACATAAATATGATACATAGTATAACAATGGACAGTAATGAGACAAAGGCCACTTTAATACAAGAACAAATTTCTTTACCAAATAAGAAAAACAGTAAAACACAAGTAAGAACTAGATCGAATAAAAAATAAATAAACAACACGGCCACAAGCAAGCAATAGCATAAATATCAACACACGTACATGGACTAAAATATAAATGAAACAAAATGAAAGAAATTAAAACTTCATTTGATGACTAACATAAGAAGAATACAAACAAGGAGACCCTTCTTGTGAAAATAGCCCCTAAAGTTCGGCATGGTTGCCCTTACCCTTAAAATGACGTACTTTTGAGATTAATATATAATCTCCATTCTAATTTTTACCCTAGCCACCATTTTATTTCTTTGATTTCTCAAGAGAGAGAGAGAGATGGAGAGAGAGTTCACAAACTCTCTTAACTCTCCATCGCGGGAGGCACGACCACCGTTCACTGGAGTCCTCCGCCGCCGCTCACGATGATCGGAGGTGAAACAAAATACACGAAATGCTCGCCTTACTACTCCAAACCCAAATCCTTTTTATTTTTTGGATCTCCTCTTCTCATAAATTATTGTCAGTCACTTGGTGAGAAAACAGTGAGGTCGGGTAGGGAAATCATTTCCTAAAACTGAGATTTAATATTTTTTAAAGATGTTTTGATATGGTTGGTAAATCTTTGACATTCTTTGATTTTTTTGG